TTTTTTTTTTTTTTTTTTTTTTTTTTTTTTTCAATTGAATGTGTTTGAAATATGAATATAGAGAGTTTTTTTTATATAGATTTATTTAGTTATGAATTACAATTGCCTAAGCAGGAAGAGAATAGATTTTTAATTAAAATATTATTATTTATTTTTATTTAATATATAACCAGATAACAATTTATTGAAATTATATATTTAATTTTATATAACATTATTTTTTATTTTTATTTAATATCACTTTACCAATTACATAAAACTTAATTAATTACATAAAACTTAATTAATTTATTTATATATATATTAATTTTATATAACATTATTTTTTTTTTTGAATAAATAAAAATTTTTAATAATAATAATTACATAAAACTGGTTCAGCTGAAAGCCATCTAACTAAACAATTAATTGTTGCAATGTTTTCATAATTAATATATAAACTAAAATGCAAATCTATTTTCATGTATATTTAATTTTAAAAGAGTTGCAAATGTACAATTCAATTTAATTATTAAAATTTTCCTTACTTAGTATTTAATAATGAAACTTTCCATTGTAGCAAAACTAGGAATACTTCCACAATAGCCTAGAGCATTGGCTAGTCAACTAGCTAGCTGAGCGTATTTCTGTCTTGTGCGCGCACACTCATTTCAATTAAAACGTTTAAAGATAATCAATTAATAATTTTTAAGCTACTGTGACAACGTTGCCTCGACTGTCGCTGCTGCTGCTGCTGCTGCTGCTGCTGGCTCTGCTGAGTCAGCGGCCAGCTCAATTAGGTGCAAAGACATTTTGAGCCGCCAGCGAGTTGTTGCGAAGATTTACAGTAGATTTATTGGCCAGACGCTTGGGCCAGTGCGAACAGCAAGTGGTTAGCAGTGTCTGGCCTAATTGGCGCTTGAATATTGATACTGCTGAGCTCAGCTGACTGAACAGCCACTTGACTCACACTCACATTCACACTCACACTCACATCCAGAGCAGTCTCATTGAAAAGCCAATCTGATCCAATCGACGTATAGACTGCGCATTGGCGCTGTCTGATATTTATCGAACTTAACGATGCTGACTATTTTTGGCAAATTTTTCACATTCGAGACTCATAATTCGTGCGATAATTTACACAAAATTAGGCTAGTGTCTCGCCAGCGATCCTTTTAAAGTATTCCCCGCAGCTGCTCACAGAAATTCAGTTGCAATAAAAAATAAATAAAAACAAGTAAACAAACAACAACAAAGTAATGGATGATAATAAAAAATAAATAAAAAAAAGCGGCACAGCCATTGCGTTTCCCACGCCAATTAGAATTATCGTCATATGAGAGATATTTTCTGTGCAACTGCAAAATAATTGGACAGCCCCACAGAAGAAGAAGAGGAAGAAGAGGAACCAGAATGAAAAAGTGGGAGAAACATTTTGGGAAAACTGTGTTTTTCAAAATTCAATTTACGCTGTGCAAATTGCCCCCGCAACGCAATGCGCATATAATTTTCATCACAAAAGTTGGCCATGCTGCCAGATAGCACGAATACACATAGATTGGCAACGCCGCGCCGCTGCGTACAATTTGTGCTAACAAAACTTTTGCCATAAAATGTGCGTGTGAAAGCCATAAAAATGAGAAGCTGCCCAGGCTGTATCTGCAGTGCTCCTCATTGCGGCTAAAATATAATTAATGTGCGGCAAGTTTATCCAGCGCTCTTCTGCTTTCCTTATGACCCTGTCCAGATTGCTCTCTAATCTGCGGCTATCGAAGAGTAAGTATTTCAAATGAAAAGCCACCTCTGCCTCAGTCTCAGCCAGCGCCACGAAGAAAGCAATTAAAAGTCCAATTAGAATATCATTAAGCTGCGGCCGCGACTGCGGTCAACAATTAAGAAGTGATAAACGCCAAAGGTGCAGCCTAATATAAGAGCCATAAATTAGGGAGAACTTTTCTAAATAACACAAGGATTAACAATGGCAATTTAATGAACTCATAAATGCAAACAGAGCCAAGCGGTTTATAAATCAAAAGTAAATTTGATAAAGGGTTAATTGTACATTACGCAAGTCGTTTGCTTCGCGAGTCGGAAAAGGGAGTTCTTAAACAGAGTTAACAGTATTCTAAAAATATATGTATATAACTAAGAACTTTTACTTTTCAGCATGAAAAGGTTAAGCTGAACTACAGAGGCAAATCGACATTAATTTATCCTCAGAAACATGGTTCTGTCACGCTTTTTTCTGGGTGGATTTATATTTTTAGTGACTTCAAGATATACAGAAAAAATGTAATTAATAAATTATTTAATTATTATTCTTTTTTAAATTTATTTACATATTTATTTTTCAAATGACTTTAATATTTTTCAATCTAAATTGTTTATATCTAAATTGTTTATATTAAATACTTATATTAAATATATAATTACAATAAAACATTGATTTATATGGAACACTTTATTTTCAAATAATTTATGGAATTTTATTTATTTATGTATTTTTATTTCATTTTATTATTTTTTTTTTTAATAATATTTTTAGCCAGTTTTTTGTATAAAAAAGTGTGTCTTACATTTTTTTCATACTTTACCAGCCTTCATTGACCAATCTATATGCCTTTGTTTCTGCCGTCAGTCGAACTGCTGCTAGACTTGGTGTCTGGCCTCAGTTTATAAAATACGTTTGACTGATATCCATAGGATTCCAAATTTAGTGTAAGTAACAGAATGACGACATATTTCTACTATCCGACAAAGGAGGTGCAGGAGGAATTGTCCTGCACGGCCAAGGCTCTAGTTGCGCCTGGCAAAGGACTCATTTCCGCAGATGAATCGATATCGACTATGGCCAAGCGATTTCAAATGATTGGCGTTGAGAATACCGAAGAGAATCGGCGCTTGTATCGCCAGCTGCTCTTCACAGCGGACCCCAAGATATCGGAGACCGTGTCGGGTGTGCTCATGTTCCACGAGACCCTTTACCAGAAGACCGACGGCGGCATGTCGTTCGCCGAAGTGCTGCGCAAGAAGGGCATCATTCCGGGCATTAAGGTGGACAAGAGCTCGGTTCCGCTCTACTGCTCCATGGACGAGTTCACCACCCAGGGCCTGGATGACCTGCATTTGCGCTGCGCTCAGTACAAAAAGGACGGCTGCGACTTTGCCAAGTGGCGCTCGGTAATTAAGATCGACAGGAACACGCCCTCATATCAGGCCATCATGGAGAATGCCAACGTGCTGGCTCGCTACGCGACCATCTGCCAGTCGCAGCGCATGGTGCCCATTGTGGAGCCCGAGGTGCTGATGGTGGGGGACCACGACCTGGATCGCTGCCAGAAGGTCACCGAGGCCGTGCTGGCCGCCGTCTTCAAGTCCATGAGCGATCACCACGTCTACTTGGAGGGCCTGATCCTCAGCCCCAGCATGGTGACTGCTGGCCAGAGCAGCAACAAGAACAACACGCCCGGCGAGGTCGGATTGGCCACCATTTTGGCCCTGCGCCGTACTGTCCCACCCGCAGTGCCCGGTAAGTGCTCAGTCAGCAGCCGAAACGCGTCTCACCTGCGTCCTTCACCCGCAGGCGTAATGTTCTTATCGGGCGGCATGTCCGAGGAGGAGGCCTCCATTAACCTGAATGCCGTCAACAATGTGCCGCTGTGCAAGCCCTGGGCGCTGACCTTTGCCTTCGGGCGTGCCATGCAGGCCTCGGCTCTGCGGACCTGGGGCGGCCGAAAGGACAACGTGCTCGCAGCCCAATCAGAGCTGGTTAAGCGCGCCAAGGTAAGCTCCAGATCGCACTTAATTGCATAGCAAACTTTGCTTTATGCCGATGTATTTAATTTCAAAGTTAATGCACTCCCATGCGCCATCACAGCCAATTAACATAAATAGCGTTAACTTTAGTAATTTGTTTAAACAATGCTTAAAGTATTCCTTGATTATTCAACAGGCGCACAGCTTGGCCAGCATTGGCAAATACATTCCCGGCTCCGTAGAAGGCACAGCGGGCGGCGAGAGATTGCTGGTCGATGCATATGAAATGTGAGCGGCTCCTGCTCGGATATATGTAGGTGAATGAAAACAACAAGCGCCACCTCTCCGATCACGAAGTTACAGTTTATTATTGACATGCGTAAATGTGCACAAATATATATATTCATATTTGCATTCAGCTGCATATCAGAGCGACTGCCCCACTGTGCGGCATCGATGACTGCCGCCTGGCCGCAGGCCACATGTTCGCCGCTCGAGCCGATGCTCGACATCGGCGGGCAACAGCAGGCAACAACAACTCGAAATATTGTTAACAAGCGTGCAAAAGAGCAAAGAGTAGTTGTGGCAGCGCCGGCAGCGCAACACGACTTCTGTTAACTGCAAAGTGTCGCATTAATCCGCGGAGATTACCAGGCGCAGCCACATGGCCAACACGCAGCCAGCGTCGTGCTGCGCCGCTGCAGCACTGCAGCTTAATTAACGCAAACGCATGCCAAAAGCCAGCCGAAGAGTCGAACCGACCCGCCAAACCGTGCATGGCTGCGAGCTAGTGAACCAGCTGGCCAACTATTCAGCTTAATCAGCCGCCTCACTCTGATGCGTGCGTAGCCGAGAGTGTATGCTTGGCAGCTCCGCTCTGGGCTCTGGCTGTGGCTCTGGCGCTGGCTGTGGCTGTGGCTATGGCTCTGGCTCTGGCTCTGGCTCTGGCTCTGGCTCGGGCTCGGGCTCGGGCTCGGGGCTGAGCTCTGGCAACAGTGTCATGTTGCTGGCAAATTAGTCAGACCCACATGGCCCCTCTGAGCTGAGTGGGGCTTGAGCCGAATGGGGGGCTGGCAATAATTAAAATTAAAGCACTGACTAAGTTATGGCCGACTCGTGGCACGCCCCGCATCGTCTGCCCATCGCTGCCTCATAACAGACACGCACAATTTTATTCATACTCTGCTCCTTGGGCAGGGTATAGTTGGCGGAATAAAATGATTTATGAAACATTAAGAAAATTATATAAAATTATTTATGAAAATATTTATTATAATATAAATTGGCTTAAATTAAAACAGAAGAAAAAGAAAATTTATTAGGGAGCCCTATAATTTTTTTAAAAATCTTTATATTAATAACTACATATATTTGTATATATATTTAATATTATTAATACAAAAAAAATTCATACATTTTTATTTTTACTGAATTTAATTATTTTCTATTAGTTAAATTAAAACTTTAGCGAAAAAAAATGCTATAAGGAGTCAAAAAATATTCTTAAGCCTGTATATACCAAAAAATAAATATATACTTATATATCAATTTATATTTTAAATTTATAAAAAAAAAATTATATATATCAATTATCTTTTGTTTATTTTTTATTCATGCATCAGTCTTTGCCTGTGGATATTCATTATAGAATATCTCGTAGTCGACTTGATACTCTCGCTTTCTTGCTGGTTTTCACCTGCTGCTTGCAACCTGTGCGACAACTGAGTTTTGTGGTTAATCCAATCGCCGTTCCCAATCAGGCCAACGTGAGCAGCATGTCATGTTAATTGCATCGCCCTATATATGTAGATATACGCAAGTGTGTAGCAGGCAGTGCGTGTCTGTTTCTCTCTCTCTCTCTCTCTCTCTCTCTCTCTCTCTCTCTCTCTCTCTCTCTCTCTGTGTATCAGAGAGTGTAAATTGCCATTATGCTCATGTTTCCTTAATATGTAGCACATAGTCCACTGAGCAGCGAGCGGCACGCAACGCGTCAAGCCAATTAAAGCCAAATTAAAGCAGCCGTTTTTAATGATATGCAACGTTTTGTGCCGCCCTCGTTCGCCCCCCGCTCTGAGCTAGCTGCTGGCAAACAGCTCGTCAGCACTTTCAATGCAGCTCTTAAGATTTATGGGCGTGCCGCCCGCTAATGTGTCGAACACACAAAGCCCAACTCCACGGTGCCGATCAAGCCCGCAGCTCGGCTGCCGGCACGCGTTTATAGACAAAGTTGCGACTAGATCAAAGCAAAAACGCCGTCAACTGCGACTTGGACCCGGTTAACGAGCTGCCGGCCTTAAGCGTTCGCGGTTCAAATGCAAACAAATCGAGCGACAAGTGGGCGTGCGGCCCTGCCCCGGCTCTTAGACTGCGACTTGAGCATAATTAGAAATTTCCGGCTGGACCGTGGCGCCAGTGCCGCGGCAATTGGGCGGCACAAATCAGTCAGCTGTCAAACGCTCGTTGATTAATTCGGTGTTAATAAACGCTTGGCCGCAAATCCTGTACCAGTCGCTGTCCCACAGCCCGGCCACGTCCACGTCCACCAATTAATGTACCATGGCGCATTGGCCAAGATGTTGTGACCAAACTGCCGGGCCAAACTTGGTCATAGAGCGTGAAAACGCTTTGCAGCGGCTGAGGATGCGCCGTGTGTTAATTGAAAGTTCGACTGGCCATATAAGCGAGGTAGCCAAAACTGACTCCCGCCACACACACACACACACACACAGAGAGAGAGAGAGAGACAGAGGCAGTTACAGACACACGCACAGACATGAGTTCGATTTGGTTGTCGGCTGATAGCCAAAAAACTTGCTGCCAACGACCATAAAAGGCCACACACGCGTCGCCGACTTACCTACCTGGGAAACTGCCAACAGCAGCATGAGAAGCAGAAGCAGGAGAAGCAGCAGCAGGAGAAGCAGCAGCTGACGCCAACTGAGGAGCTTTCCATGTGCCACATCATTTGCCCAAAGTAAGAGGTGTTTAAAATGCTAATTTGGACAATAGCAAATGGCAGGCCACCAACTGAACTCGGTTCAGCTGTCGCCGAGCTGAGCCAAGTTTCGTTTTTGTTGCCGCCTGACGTAATAAAGATCGAAAAGGTAACTTTGAGTTCAGCTAGCCCTAGACTGAATGCCATTTAAGCACTCAAGTCAAAGTCAGTTTATCGGGTTTGTTTGATCGGCTTGGCAATTGTAAAGCTTTCAGAATCAATTCGAAGTCTGCAGGGATTTAGCCACCCAAAATGACTTATAAAACCAAAGAATTACAGCAATAATATGTTGTCTAGACTTGGGCTTTCTTTGTGCCTGAATTAACCTACACAAAATTCCTTTAAAGACATTTCTTAAAATAAATTAAATTTAAATAAAATTTAAAGAATTTAAAAAAGTAGGGTACCCAGGGGTATTTAAATGGAATTTTAAATGGAAAATAATTTTTTGTTTTGATATCCAAGTTTCTTATATGCAGCCATGCCATTTCATTCAGTTTTAAACGCCTATTTGATATTAACAACATTTCTGCTCATCAGCTCAACTGCGTGATACGCTTTAAAAGTTATAAAAAAATAGTCGAGTGTATTTAGAAAAAATCATTTTTAATATGCCAACCGATGTTGGATGTATGTAAATAATTTTGACTGCCAGCTGCTGCCATTCCATCAACGCGCTTGGTCAGCTGTCGCCGCAGCAGCTTCCTGGCCAGGCCAGGCTAGGCCGGGCACAACTGCCGAAAACGTCAAAATGTCAATTGGAAAACGTTTAGGAAAAATCCTCCGGCTGCCCCGCCTGACTGTCAGCCAAATGTTTTGTTTGTTGCCAGAGAAATAAAACAAACAAAGAAAAACGTAGCTGTGGCTATTGACTTCAGCTAGGAATAGAGAGGCGTGCATGGGCCGGACCCAGTCCGTCAGTCTGTTGTTGTTTGGGCGGGTGGGGGGCGTGGCTGTGTCGTTGTCCCGACTTGTTTAGTCAGGTGTAGGCTCGTTTGTCTGTCACTCGCTGCAGTCGCTTACTTTTCCTTTATGCAAATGCCAATTGCAACTTTTTACTTTTGCTTTGGTAAACAGATTGTGCAATGAGCGGAAAGTGGGGCGCGCCATTGGCAGATAGACAGATAGCCCGATAGGCAGCGAGGCTTTAATAACTTGCATCTCAAATATCTCATCTCTGTAGAGCTAAGCTGCAGCTGTCACGGGGACAGTTTGTGCAAAGACCTCACCAGTGGCGATTGCCTCAAGATGCGTTTGCCTGACAATCGCACGACATTTCTGACAAATGCTGCTGACAAAAACTTCTTTCAAAACGTATTCCTATATTTATTTTTTTCCCCTTGCTTGACAAGACGCCCGTTCAGACATTGCATAGGCAAAGCATGTTGACATGTTGCAATTTTATGCAAGTTTTTTTTTTCTTCAGCAGCATTGTGTGCGCAGTAGCCAAAAATATCAACAAAAAGAAAAAAACAACTGTATAAAAAATAAAATAAATTATAGTCGCACAGCTTTACGACAAATTCAATGAAATATTTGCAATTTAAATAATGTTAACGGCCATTTTGCCTAACATCACAAATTTTGGACAGCTGGCGCAGTTGCATCACAGCCCCTAAGGGGGCGGAGTCTGCATAATTATCCACAGAGCCAACGTGGCGTATACTTAATGCCACTGGCAAATCAAATCAAATGTGTATTTAAATACAATGGTTTTTGTTATTCATCAGCGCCTCAAAAAAATCAGCACAGGCTTAAAAATGAATAAAAAATTTATGTATAAGAAAAAAATTATTTAGCATTCATTTAATTTTTGTTTTATACCCTAAAATATGTTTCATAACTATTAAAATATTTTTAATAATATGTTGCCTAATTGATAACAGTGTTTGAGCAATTTTGCTTCCATTTTATATTTTAAAATATATAGTAATTAATATTAAAAATAAAGAAAAAATTTATGAATAGATGAAACAAATTATTTGGCATTCATTTAATTTTTGTCTTATACCTTAAAATATGTTTCATAATTCTGAACATATTTTTAATAGTATGTTGCTCAATTGATAAAAATATTTGGGAAATTTCGCTTCCATAATATATTTAAAAATATTATATAGTAATTATATATTCATAAAGTAATTTCAGTGCCTTTCATTCCGTTTGTCAATTTTAAAAATATTTTTATATGCTCTGATTCAAAGAGACATTGCCAAAAGGCAGGACATAAAAATGATGAAATTAAAATATAAATAAAAGAAAAGTCTGCACGTACGCGCAAATGAAACACAGCTCGCGACTGTTGGAGGCTATAAGGTCGCTCACACACACACACACACACACACACACACGCATGCAGCCCGTCATATACACCCACAGCAAATAAATTCAATTTACAATGAAAAATGGCAGCGATGATGAAGATGGTGAGCAAAGGCGCTGAGAACAGGTGCGGGAAAAACTTTATTAACATTTTTCGCATGCTGCACGTGCGCATTGACAGCGTGGGCCGCGTATTTCACGCTTTTTAATGAAGTTTCATAAATTGCGAGCATCGAACGTTAATCAAATAAGGTGTGAGAGAAATCAAAGGCCTCGCGTCCGTGGCGCCTTAAATGGCCGCCGTGAAGCGACAAGCTGCAGACGCTGTCGCCACAATTGGCCGGCCGAATCTGTCAATAAATCAATTAGTGTAATATAAATCAAAAGTCGTGGAAACGAAGAAGTGGCCGCTGGAGGGCAGCCAATGCGACTCTGTGATGTTTCTATTTCTGCGGCTTTAATTAATTGCAACAAATTTATGTTGGCCTGTCGAAAAACGTGGCCAACGGACACAATTAGCCAAATGACAAAACCAACACGACGCAACGCGAAGCGACGCGACGCAACGCAACGGCCCATAACTCATGCCACACATCGTCTATGTCAAATGTGGCCACCTCTCACTCTGTCGCTCTCGTCAGCTGCTGCTGTGCAGCGGCGAGCACTTTTGCCTCAGTGGTCATAAATTCAACGCTTCCTTTGCACCATCCGCCAACGCAGCGGCTGCGTGTGCAACGGGGCGTATGCAAAACGCCAGCAAATGAGCCAAAACGCACGCAAAGTTTATGGCAAATGGCTGGAGGTCAACTGCTCTCAGAGAGCTCAAGCTCAGCAATCCAATCCAAAGTTTATCGGCAACACTGCTCAACATGTTTTCATAATTAGCTGCCACAAGAGATGCCACAGATTTTCATCTCCTGCTTAGCTTTTCTCATCCAGCTTAATCACACAAAAGGCGTCAAGCTCTAAGCTTTCTTAAGAACTCTTCTACTTTCTATTTTATTTTATGGTGAGGTATAAGTGCATTGCTTCCTTAGATCTCTCACCAAACACTAAATGGTTAAAGTCATTCATTAAATGTATTATTATTATTATTATTATATCTCTCTCTTTCTTCTTGATATCACTTTCATTTTTCTCCATTTTATTTCAATGTGAATTGCATGGAATGCCTGCTATCCAGTGTAATTGTTGGAAGTTGAACTTCTTTCGGAATTGTTTTCTACCCCAAATAATTTTGACATTTGACTAATGCGCCGCATTAGTTCTGCCAAAAATTTCTTAATTTAGCTTTGCAATTGCCATTGCTGCAGCCGTACACGTAACCCGCCAAGAAAGCTGAGCGAGCTGCCGGGTAGCTATGGTTCTCTAGCTGTGTAGAGGGATGGGGTGAGGGTCTTGTGGGTCTGCTTGCCGAATTTATTTTGGCCACAAACCCGTGCACAAGTTTTTGAGTTTTATCTGCTCAAAATTTGTCACAGCAAATAAAAAGTTTTGCTTTTCCATTTTACGCTCCAACGTTCGCCTTACCGTTGCTGTCACATTTTTGTTTTTTATTTTTCATTTTTTATTTTTTGTACCATTTGCTTTTTAATCCGTAGAGCAAGAAATAAAGATAAAACTTAAGCTAAAATAAGTTTCTTAAAAGCGTGCAAAAAAACGAGGTGAAAAGCGAGCAGAGCCAACAACAAATTTGAAGTGCAGCGCAACTGCAGAAATAATGAAATAACAGCAATGCAATTAAAAGGCAGCTGCTGCTGATTCGCTGGATTAAGGTACAACACACACATACACACAGAGAGCGTGGGAGTGAGAGAGAGAGAGAGAGAGAGATTGGGAGAGACACTAAAACATACACAAGGCCAAAAGGTACTGAATGTCGCGATAACCTTGGGGCAAGCGAACGCGTAAAAACTTCAAGTGGCTAAGGACTATAAAACAACGTTGCCAAATTGCGTTAACGTTAACGTCAACCACTTACGGAGTTACGTAATTGCTTGTCTCAAATGCTGCCACTTGGAAACTCTGCACCGAGCCAGAGCAGCAGCTGAAGGTGAAAGGGAAAGCATTTAGAGCAAATACGATAATCAAATGAATAGAAAAGAATGAGTTAAGGGGAGCTTGTGGGAAATTTAAAATTATTGTAATATAGAGATATGCATATAAAAATTGAGTTCTACTTCTTTCTAGTTCAACTTTCTGCTTTAACCAAAAGCTGAACACATTCGCCAGATTACAAGGAATGTTTGAGCAAAATGTTGATGCAAATAGAGTACCCAGGTGGCTTGAATTTAACATTTTCCACTTAGCTCTGGTAACGCTAAATAATTCAATATTCATCAGCAAGCGCCAACAACAATGCGTCCATTTTGCTAAAATGTCGCGACGAGCGATAATTTTGGCAGCACAAACTTTCGAGCGCACCAAAAACTCATACAGCAACACATACGCACACACACTCACACATAAGCAGATACATCTGTAAATTGTGATACATCGTTTTTGCATTCGGGGAACACATGTTCACTGCGGATTTAGTTGTCGCTTTTGAGCGAAGTTTTGCCGCAGATTCACCCATTGCATATCACATTAAAAGCATTTACGATAGATAGGCGAGACAGGCAGAATAATATGTAAATGAGAAAAGTAGACAGATAGAGAGAGAGAGGGCGATGAAGAGAAAGAGAGAGACAGAGAGGGAGAGAGAGAGTCAGACAAGTAGACATTTGGAATCCCCTTAGGTCTTGCTCATGTTATCATTTCTGCTTTTACTCTAGCGGTAAAATTATAATATAATTTCAACTACTACTCGTGCAAATAGCTCAAATTAAAGTTTTGTGCCTGCGGGGCAAGCACAAACACAAATACATACACACATACACACACACACACACAGTCACATGGCCGCATGCACACGCATGAGAACAGAGCAAAACCTCCTCCATCTTGTTTTTAGTTCTTGCAAATGCTAAGTGCACGCTCGCACACACACACACACACACATATCCAGCAGACGGCGGGATTTGGCTCTCGAAGTTTCCTCTACCACAAAATGGAATAAAGTTCTTAAAAAATTAGTTTAGCTAAACGAAACAAGCAACAACTTTTTGAATATTAATTGAAATAAATAAGATTAGTTAAATAAGCCTTGAATATTATTTTATTTTATTGAATATATACATTTAATATATATATTCAAAATAAAACTGATATCTTTAAAACTTTCAAAATGAATCAACTGCAAAGACTAAAACACTTTAAATTAATGTACTCTAAAATCTCTTATGAAAATACTTTAAAATACATATTTTTAGATTGTTATAAAATAATCGAAAGACAAGTCTTAAATCTCTTAAAAGGCTTAATAAGTTGACAACATCTGTGCCGCAGTTGTAGCCGCGCGTAATTAGAGAATAAAACTTGAGATTTTTACTGGAAAGCCATTAACGGAAATGCAAAGGAACATTATAATGTTGAATGCTTGAAGGGCAGTTTGCAAAGAGGTTCGCAACGTCAGCATCAATAAACTTTGACGCCGGCCGCAGTGCTGCAGCAGTCCAGGGAGCAGTTGTAACAACAACAACAAAAACAACAACAATAACTGGGTAGAAGAACAACCAGAAATTATGGCCACACTTTCGTTTTTTGCTGGCCGGCCTCAGGACAAAGCCGAGCGCGATAAGAAGCCCGCCATTGCAACATTCTTGAACTGCAGCCAACAACAAATGCAACAATGGCCACGAAGTGGGAGCCGCAGTGCGGCCCATAAACTTGCGACAACGTCTTGCAAAAGTTTTGGCCAGCAGGAGCAATGTGGGTGTTGGCTGGCTATCAGTTGGCCAAAACTTTACTGCTTACGTTCGTCATATTTGCGCGTGAGTTGCCCCTGCTGGAGGGCGGCAGCAGGGGGAGGGGGGCAGAGTGGGCAAGGCGCTGCTGCTATCTCGGCCAGGGCACACTTAAACATGTGGCTATTGAGGCAACTGCAGCGCCTGACAGTTGTCGCTTGCAGTTGCCACAAGGCGTTGCACGTGGCAAGCTGCGGTCGGTCGGTGCTGTGGCAGCGCCGTGCCAGCCACTTGTGACAGTTTCGAAATTGTCCAACAAGCCACCATGGACAGCGCCGCAACAACTGACTGATAAATGTCGCTGGCCAGGCAGCAAATACTACTGCTGAAAACATTTCCTTATTTCCTGCCTGCTGCCTGCTGCCTCCGACTGACTGCCCTGGCAGCCTGGCAGCCCGGCACGGAAAACTTTTAGGCCAAAAGGAAACCCCCAGCGGCGGAAGCATTCGGGGACCATTTTTATGCAAGTCATAGAAATTTACAAGCCCCAGTGACAAGACTGTTAGTTTATGGTGTCAGCAATGGCATACAATGTGCTCTAGCTTTTTAATGGCTAGATCAAGCTGGTTGTTTGTAGAAAATCTATTTTATTTGTTTGTTTGTTTTTTACCATTTAGATTCTAGAAATCAAATAACCAGTGCATAATCAGAACGTATTGTTAGACATATGTTTACAAATTCTATTTTTGCAGTTGATAACAATATTTATAAATATATACACTAAATGTATACAGTGAATCAACTTCATAATCAAACAAACTTTAACGGCTAATTTTCAGATTTATTGCTCAAAAGAAAAGTTAGGCTTGTCAAAATCGATTGCACTTTAAATACTTTTCAAGTTTTATTAACTAGAACATTGCAATGTTTAGCTAGCATTAATATAGCTAAATTTGATTGTAGCTATCGCTATTTGTTGGTTTGTTTTTCAGCACTGTTGAGTAGGATGGACATTTTTGCTTGGGGAAACTTTCGTAACATTGGCATATGCAATTGGGTTTGCTGCACATCCTGGCGACAGCTTGGACTTGTGGAAAGTTTTTCAACTGCTGCTGTTGCTGTTAAATATTGCAGCCGCTTTTTAGGCATTTGCGCTGGCCGGCAGAGGTGGGGCAAAGTTTTTAATGAATTTTATAGCAGCCGCTGAACCACTGAACCGCACACAGCTAAACTAAGCCAGCCGAGCCAAGCTATGCACAGCTGAAGGTTTGAGGCGTTCGATTACGTAAGCGCAAAGCGCCTCTATTGCACGTTGATAAGCGGGGTCCAGAGTGCCGGCACCCAATCACGCTAATCACGCCGGACTGACATACAAACGGACAGACGGACAGACGGACGGATGGACAATGAGACAAACCGCTTTGACTTTGATGCGCTGTCAACGTGGCTGCTGCTGCTGCTGCTGCTGCTGCTGCTGCTGCTGGTGTTAGTGTTGGTGTCGCTGTTGACGTGTATGTTGGTGTTGGCTGTTGGTCATTAAATGCAGCACATTAAAGCCGCAGGAGCTGATGTCGACGGCAATGTTGTCTGACAAGCGTTGAGTCAATTACATGGTAATAAACTAATGGCCAACGACTGCACGTCCGTCAGTCCCACCGTCTGCACGTCTGCACGTCTCTTGGCCATCAACAGCAGCAGCCGCAGCAGCAGCGGCAGCCGCAGCATGACATGTTCGTTAATTTGCGGCAATTGTTGATCTTTTAGGCCAACCACAGGCGCCCACTATAATAATTGGCTCGGGCATAATGAGCCTTGTCTGGATTGTTACACGCAATTCCCAAAATCTGAAAGCGTTTGCGTCGATTCTGTTCGCTTTTATTCGCACCCGACTCGATTCGATTTGACTTGTTTACCAAAGATTTAATCAGCCGCAAATGTATTCGATCCCACATAAACACATCTACATATCAGAGAGCTCAGGCGTGCACGCACTTGTTGATGTTTAGCTGGTAGTTGGACCCCGGCGGACAGGTGCCGTGCACCGGTCGCTCTTTGACGCACAGATTCTTCTCGGTGCTGAAGCCGGTGGGGCAGCTGGAGCCCCAGGCGCCGCCGAGCACCGCCAACAGCAGCAGTAGAAGCCAAGCACAATTGCAGTTCATGGTGGTTGTCTAGGTGAAGTAATTGCAATTACCGTTAGCCAAACACTTTCCTCCTTCCTCCAGTTCTCACCTGTAGCAAGTGCAAATGCAAGTATTTACGGATCGGCAGTCGGCGATGCGCTTTTATAGAGCCGACACGCGACTTATCAGCGGCAGCTGTTTACAACTCAACCCCAGAATGAATCGGGATCAGCTGCCGATCATTAGGTTAGTTGATAATCAAATTTGTGGAAAACAAGGCGATTCAGCGATTAATCGAATAGAAGCAAAACAACGTCCATCTGGCTTTTTAATTACATTTTATTTAATCAAGCACCGCTCAAAACTAAGCACCATAGACGCAGGCGTTAACGTTCACCTTGTAGGTGGAGCCAGCGGGGCACTCGCCATGAATGGGGCGCTCGGCGACACAATTTCCGCCCTGGGCCTTGAACTTGGCGGGGCAATTGGCAGCCGAGACGACGGCGAACAGGGCAAAGATGAGCACGGCAAACCAAGTGAAGTTCATTCTGATTGCTGCAGAAAAATGTACAAAAATATACGATTAGATATGACTTTATATAGTAAAAGTATAAATATTTTGGTAAATACTAAAACATAATTGAATTTTATTTTTGTTAAAAATAATATATAAGACTACCATATATGTGAATAAACTTAATTTAAATAATTATTATTTAATTTAACTATTGTTAAATATTTTTGATTTTTATTTTAGTATTTATTATTATTATTTTTATTTATTTTATTTTTTTTTTTAATTTTGTTTTTTTTATTGTTTTATTATTATTTATTATTATTATTATGATTTTTATTTATTTATTTATTTATTTTATTTTTTTTTTTTGAAAGTTTTATTTTAATATTCAATTTCTGTGGCTAAACCTAATCTGATAACAACATCGACTGCTGACCTAGCTAACTGGCAAATTAGTTACACAGCAGCACATATAATACACATACACATACACATACATATACATAAATGTATGTATCTCTAGCAATTGCCAATTATTCCTTGAATCACAATTTCTTTGTATTCACTTATAATTTCAACTCACTTACTTTTTGTCTCTGTCTGAGAAATATTGAAACTAAAGTATGCCAGCTGCTGCTGAGCTCTTTTATAGGGGGCTGGCCATGGGCAGCTTATCTCGTGGCTCGGACCTATGACACAATCAGTGTCGCTTAAGCGTCAAATTGATAAGGCTTCTGAAAATTTTGGGATTGCACACGTAAAACGTTCAACGAAGGCTTGACACATGCGAACCCCGGCGACAATTCGCAGAATGGAGCCAACAATTGCCGCATCGGACAAAAGGCCATTTGCATGGCCTCAGCGCTGGGCACTTGAGCGCCGAAGTAGGCGTCAAAATCGGCGAAATCTGCACCAGAAATTCCAATGAGCGCCAGCCCAATTGTCAAGGGTGAGCGGCACAGGTGAAATGCTGCGTGCCACATTGTCCAGGCGAAACAATGGACGGCCTGCAGATTGCGGCTCCGGCATAGGCGCCTTTTCAGCCCGGTGGCCTGCAGCTGTCATATTGACAATGGGCAAGTGCCTCCTGCACGTCTGCCCCAGCGCATTGGTCGTGCATATGTCATTCAAATACAATTACATTCCGAGGTATTCACTGGGGCTCCAAGAAGCGGTACAAAATCATTTCCAATGCTCTTCCTTACCCTCTAAGCGTGTAGCTGAAATAAAGGGGAATGAATGATGGGAGATATGAATGGACTTTTGAGTACTTGAACTAATCAGCAGTTGCACGTCATGGCAAGTAATTACTGTCATTGCAGTTCTAATATAGTACAGAGTCAATATCTTAACCTACACAGGGTATCTGCAAGTCCGGCCAAGCGAGCTTAGCCACTTTTTCGGCAGCTGCGCATAAATCAAATGCTAACGAGCCATAAAGTTTCATTGTCGGTTGCCATTTGAAGTGCCATGCGGGTGACTTCAATATTTGTATGTTATAGTTTGAATTTGATGTACGACAAACAGTTCTCTCCCAGCTCCCGCCCAACCGTTGCCCCACCTCCCTCACATCGACGCCTCGAAGGTGGGCACTCGCAGCTGAAATCGAACTGTGCGTCATGTCATAATTCACTCAGCACTTGGCCAACGTTGAATGGTCGGCAAATGGTTGCGTGTCCGAACAGTGGACACCAATATGGACAGTGGGGCAACAGCTTTGAACAGCTTTTGGGCCAAACACTTGGTCTTCGGCTGGGTCTGCTGCGGACTGGTCATGCCTTGCCTTTGAATTATTGATGGGCGTATTAAGAAGATTAATGTGATGAGCCATGGCATAGAGTTTTGTCGATGTCGACGCTGTCGCTGTCGCCGTTGCTGTTGCTGTTGCTGTTGCTGTTGCTGTCGTTGCTCATGTTAATGTCTTCATTGTCGGCTTAAAGCTTTACCTTTACCGTTAGCTCCTGGCAGCCACCTCTCTGCCTCCCTTTTCTAGGTGTGTGTGTGTGTGTGTGTACGCTTTATTTTCGGATCGCTCCAATTGCACGCCAACAACAGCAACAACAGCAACGCAGCAACAACGGCCATAACGTTCATCAACGTTAGCATTCGAGGGTCAAGTCGATTGGTCATTTGGTCGCCTCTCGCCGCATCCCTCAGCCATTCGATTCATCCGATTCACTCGTTTGTTTCGCTGCGCGTCCATAAGCCATTTTTCTTCCTGATGCACATAAGTTTTAAGCTTTGTGTAATTTATTTTTATAGCCGTGTAGTCGACGTAAAGATTGCAAATATGTAGTTGGCGTTTGCCATACACATGCATATATGTATATGTATATGTATATGTATATAAATAAAAAAAAAAGAAACGTCGTGTCGTTAGTTGCAAATCAAATGCTTGTCATGGCCATGGGGCAGCACCTCCTTCAGCTGCCCCACTCAGCGCCTTCTATGCAGGATATGGCTGCTAGCTGTGAATTTGCAATTCCGCCACAGTCAAATGGACACACCTGAAGGACATTCAATGGCAGCGGGTGTAACAGCAAAGCAGAAGCCATGAAAACTCATCCATAATTTATGGAAGTGGGTAAAACTCTTTAACGATGTTAGACCTCTACAATTTTCAATGAAAATCCAGCAAAAGAATTAAATACACCTTCGTCAATGATATTACGCCAGTTTACTAGCAAGCGAACTAAATTAACAAATTGTATGCAATTATTTCTCTAATTATAAGTTTAATTTAATAAGCTAGAAGGCTAAAGACTCTAAATGCGAAGAAATGCCTTACAGAATTTCAAATGGATTTTCAAATGGCTTTCGTATAATTCGTTTCTCCTTGTGTAATTCTATGTGACTTTTATACTTTGATCGAAAAGAGCGATAATTTAATGTCAAAGACTCAGCAAGAAGAGCCCTTGGCTTTCAATTATTTCAGCTTGCCTTTTTAGCTATAATTATATGACTTTTTAATAAGTTGAGCCGACTCGCTATTCAGTTTTCTTTCCTCTTTTCTCTTTTGATATTGTAATTACACATTTAGGTTCTCGTTTACTCTAGTTATCTAACTCTGGGAACTATATGTACTATTCCGTTGCTCCAATTATGCCCTGCTGCCATTTTAATTGACCGTTGTCGTTATTTAACTCAGTTAATACACATGTTGCACATGTTGTTAGCGATTGCAGCTGTAATTATTATTGACTGCAGACGGGAGTCCTTGCAGCGTCCTGCTGCCACCGCAAAACCAAACTATTTGCGCGCCGCTGATGCATTTCTCATTACGTTGCTTATGTTGGCGCTGGACGCGGTTGCTGCCAACCTCAGACATTGACTTTGGTGGAGCTGTGGCTGGCCATGTGGCACAGATCTGGGAGCCATCAGTTAAACAGTTGCGCAGCCAAAGCCATGGCCAGCAGAGCTAAGCCACCCCCCTCGGCTGGGCTGCCTGCCCTGAGCTAAATCCGTAGCTAAAGCCAAAGCGAATGCTGTTTTTATTGCTGCCGCAATGTTTTAACTTTTGTGCCACCGCCAGCCAACTGTCGCGTTGCATGTTGCCGCTATTACTGCAGCATTTAACCACTCAGGCAGCGAGGCGATCACCCGCCCCGCCCCGCACCGCCTCGCCTTGCCACCACAGCAGCGAGGCAGTGGGGCATCGGAGCACACAGCATGGCAAAACGTGCTGAGTTTACGTAATTAGTGCGCCCAAGTGCAGCTTGGGCTCCCCCATCCGCGAAGAGGCAGACAGAAAGTGTAACTCCTAGCGCCACCCATCCCCCCCCATCCCCTGTCACCAGCAGCACCACCCTATCCTTCAACCTATTTAGCTGACTGCCAACTGCACGTTCATGTCGCTCAGCTGCTGCTGTTGCTTTGGGCCTTTTGAGTGTCACATGACACTGTTTGTGCATGTGTGTGTGTGTGTGTTTTCTCTGCAGTTTGTTTGTTGGTTTAAGTAAGTTGTTAGTTGCGTCGCGTATGACACACAAGTTGTCGCCTTTAAGCTGCTCCTCCGAGTACTTGTTGCCAATATTAAATCCAAGCCCATAACTCTGAGAAACCATATATGTATGTGTGAGTGTGTGGGTGAGTGGGTCTGGGCCTGTGTGGTTGGGGACTATTTACAGATTATAAAAACTTCACAAGTTCTTTCACAGCTCACAGAGAGATTCGTAGCTGAGCGCATGTAAAAGCTGTTCAAAAACATTTATATAATATTATCCGCAGCATAAGCAATTTAAAAGAGATTTCCTTTTTTTAGAATCTTAATTAATGATATGTAGAATGACAGTTTAGATTATATAAGGGTGCTTAAACTGAGTGCATAAAGTGTAATTATAAGCAACATATGCTAAAGAAATGTGAGCGCCTAAGGAAACTGAATGCATAATTCGAGGTGATAAATCATGCACAAGGCTTTATCTAGGGTAATAAGCTTTTAATGCAAAATAGAATTTTAAAATGTGTCTGAAGGTCGCAAAAAAAAATGGTTGATAAAAAAAGGGAGAATAAACACGGCCAACTACTGTTTATGGCTTTTTGCAAAATGTTCTGGCCCAATGCTAACGACATTGGCAACGAGCAGCTTTCAGCCTTCAACTGCCACGGCCTTAATTTTACTGATTATGGCAGCAACAGCAGCAGCCGAGGCAGCA